TTGGTATATGAGAGCTGGGATAAATACGCATGCTTAAGGATATAGAATAGCGTTCTCACGTGCTCTTTTCTCCTCTTCCTTTCCTTTCCACATTTTGTAGCATGACACAGTATGTGAATGTGATAGATGAACTTTATCCAATATAGTTTCAAGAGCAAATCCCAAAACCTTGCAAGGCTAAGGATTTCGGATGTCTGGGTCTTAAATTCTGGAGTATCACTAAAACTTCAATTTTTTGTTGTAATATTAAAAGTAAATTGTATGGAATTATCAACACACAAAAAAAAAAAAAAAAAATTAATTAATTAATTAATGATTACAAAACATTCATAATAATAAATCAACTTTTAAACGAAGCTATGGTTTCGATAAGTTTAACTTAAAGAGGAAAGAGATGTTCAAACAGTTAAAGAAAACCAAAATTAAATTTCATAGATGGAATTATTAAATCCTGCTCGCTGGCCATGGGAATTTAGGTGTTAAAATTTCAGAAAGAAATCATATCATATCATGACATAAAGAAGACACAAGATAAATAGTGAATTTAGGAGTTAAAGATTTTGTGCGTGGCGATACTAAACTCCAGTCCTCTTATCCCAGAAAATATAACACCATAGACAAAATTACATAACACACTTTGGAGCTTAAAAGGATTAGTCGCAAATTTGGTTTAACAATTGACTTTTCTTCAACCACGAAAACTAATATTTGTGTGGTGTGAACATGCTGTGTTTGACTCTGTCAAGTAGAAAGCAGATCTGGTAACTCTAATAATCTCTTATTGAAACTAGATAGTTTCCTAGTCTTGTTAGCCCTTGTCAACTAACTTTTTCCACGAATTTAAGCAAGTAACATAATTTCTTACATACCAAAATGTGTCTTTATACCATAAGAAATCTATTTGACATGATTTAAGAGAGAGAATATTTATCCCAAAAAAGCTATTCAAGAGTTACTGAAGCTTCAATTTGTGAAAATTTCACTTTGGTCCCTCAACTATCGGTCAGAGCTTATTTCAGTTGCTGAATCTTACAATTAGGTTCAATAAGAACGGCTTGTAGAGAGAATTCGGTGTGTCATAGATTTTTTTTCCTTTTTTTTTTAATTGCATTAAGGTATTTTTTGATGACGAGTGCAAGCAACAAAGATCAATTAAGAAGAATGAGAAGAAAGAATCAAGAGGGAGATTTGTAATTATATTCAATAATAAACCCTAATTGATTTAATTTCTTCTACGCCACGAATAGACTTATCATGTTGCATTGTTTATTCACCCATAATCATATATGATTATATGTCAGTGTCAAACTGTGTTGTTCCAACACTCCGCTGCCACCTCACAAAACAAATGCACAATTTTATGCTATGGTTCAATGTAATGAAAACACATATAACATTATTTACAATTTAAATCTGATTTTCACCATCATAGCACTCTGTATGGCTATATTTATTAAGGTTTAGCAAAGAACGTGCACACAGGTAGATTGTTATGCTTTTCAGTTTTATCTCTTATTAGTTCCATTAGGAGCAAATTGTAATGTTATCAAGATGTTTGAAGTAGTGCCTAGATATTCCATCTGTTGAACATCTATATACGAAGCTCTGCAGTCTATATTTGGCTTCAAAAGTTTAGAGCTCCTGAAGAAACTTTTTATTTGTAATTACTGCTTGCTCGTATCTTCTGGTTGTGAATTCTATTTCCTATATTCCTAAGAAAAACATATCATTACTACATATTGCTCCCTATATCAAATGTCTATTTTGTTCATTGGTTATTCTGTTTGAAGTTTAAAGAGCAATAATGGTTTTCTTTGTCAATGACCTTAGAGAGCTATTGCAGGATGAGGCACTTAATGTGCCTGGGCCAGTGGACCAGCTGCTAAGTGATTATGCTAAAAGATTTCATGAAGTCAAGACACCTCGTAAGCTCCTTTGGAAGAAAAATCTTGGTACTGTAAAGGTTAGTTGCTTCAAAGTTTACATATAGTATTTTCTTTGAGACAGATTTTCTTTTTTGACTTGGATTTTAAGATGACTAAACTGGGCTGAAAAAAGACTTACGTAACTGTAATTAACATTATGTTACACGAGGCATTTCTTTATTATGTGATGGGTCCAATTGTAGATATCGAGAAATTTCATTCATGAAAATTTGTCAAGGAATATAATACTCTGTAACTGTTGTACCGTTGGTAATCGAATTCTTTTCCTATATAAGCCCATGTAGCTTTGATATTTTTCTTTTTCATTCTTTACTTTGCTCAAATATCATTAACTTCTCTGGATTGCCTCTTTGTTTTAGTTGGAGCTTGAATTTGAAGATAGAGTGCTACAGTTTACAGTCACTCCGCTTCAGGCTTCTATAATCATGCAGTTTCAAGATAAAACAAGGTGAAGTAGAGAATGACCTTTTTTGGTTTTGCCATTTTTATCTTGTGAACTCAATGATTTAATCACGTGGTATATATAATGTCTCTCGTGTTTTCAGTTGGACCTCGAAGAATCTTGCTTCTGCTGTTGGTGTACCTGTGGATGTCTTGAATAGGAGAATAAATTTTTGGATAAGCAAGGTTACCGCCATGTACTCTGCTATTGCTGGAATTTATTAGTAGTGATGACTTTACCATTACATAAGATAATATGTTTCTCATAAGAAATTGAGATCCCATGGCCTTCCATGGTATCTGATTTTCACTTAGTCTTGAAAAACTGCATTTAGACCCGCTTCTCATGCAACCAATTCACTGGCAGTTGATTTTGGTTTTTGCTCTTATACTTCTTTCTGGCATAACCAAAATGTAGTATCACATCTGAATAAACGCGTCATGTGTCTTTTGATTGTTCAAGCATTTGAAATATACTGTTATTTAAGTATATTAAAAATCACCCAGGGAAAGGATGGTAGCAGTCTATTTATCCAATTTTCTTTGCTTGGTTAATCAGGGAATTCTTGCAGAATCAATTGAAGCAGATTCTAGTGACCATAAATTTACTTTGGTGGAAGCCTTGGTTGACAGTGGAAAGACTGCAGCTAATGTTGGGAGCTGTGAAGAGCTTCTGGGGGTTGATGAGGATGGAGAGCGATCAGTAGTCTCTGTTGAGGATCAACTACACAAAGAAATGACAGTTTATGAGGTATATCAGCTAAATACTTATCCGCTTCTGATTTGCGCATCAATAAATTCTACGTTGAAATAATGTAAGCTAACAAAGATCATTTTGAGTTATGTTTATTCTTTGGTTTTCACATTTATCTGAGTAGTCTCTTTATGGTCATCTCATATTGAAAAATGAAAATGATAGTCACATTTAGTTTGAAACAAGTCGAAATTGCATGTTAATTTTCCTTTTACACGTCTACTTTGTTCCCCTGGATAATAGACCAATTTTAGTCAGAAACCAAAATTGTTCTTTTACAATCTTATATAAATGTCCCTATCTCAACTTCATATGACATTGTACTTATAAACTATTTTTCTTTTTCCATATTTATAGCACAAGTCCCCAAACATTAAATAGTATATGAACTTACAAAAAAAATAGGATATGAATGTTCTGAGAATATCCACATTCTTTATGAGTAACCACCAATGTAAGTATTTCACTAACAAACTTGAGCTGGCTCAGCTTGTCAAGGGAATAATCTAGCTTTAGGTTTACACATTCAAAAACTCGGCTCATTTGCAGCCCTGCTTAGGGGTACTTTGGATATGAAATTCAGATTCAATGAAGCCTTTGCCACTTTCTTATAGAAACTTCCAATAGGATATGAGTAGTTTCTGTTCTCAAAAATTCCCAAAATTTAAGATTTCCATTCTGTCTTTTTTTTTTTTTTTAAGAACATGTTTATGAGGTTTCCCAACAATAATCTGGTAGGCTTTGTATAGCCTGCAGTAGTTTTTGTTTATAACTCTGCTGTAAATGTAATAGGACTAGAGTTTGAACTGCATTCAGTGTTATTGATATTGCTTACGCTGATTTGATAAAGATATCCGTGTTTTTGTATCACGCTGGCATAATCTGACCGATAATGAAAATGTGTTTCAGAAATTTATCACGGGGATGCTTACCAATTTTGGCAGCATGGCATTGGACCGCATTCATAATACTCTCAAGGTAAATAAGGTTTCATCTCACGCGAGAAACTGTAATTTGCAAGTGAAATATACATTGGCATTACTAATCGAGCGAGCTATGTTGCTTCAGATGTTTTGTATAGGTGACCCTTCTTATGACAAATCGCTCCAACAGTTGCAAAGCTTCTTGTCCGGTTTAGTTGCAGAGGAGAAGTTGGAACTTAGAGAAGGAATGTATTTCTTGAAGAAGTAATGAACCAATAAGTTACAACTAAGGCGATCCATGTGTAAAACATGTTATAAATCAGCAATATTTATGTCTTGGCTTGCTTTTTGTTGTTAAGGACGAAGAAGGGTAGCAAGCATTTTTGTTTTTGGGTTATTTTATTTTATTTTATTTATTTTTTCCTTTGAAGCCCAACCAACCATCTCTTCGTTAAGAAATAGCCCTACTGCTAATCGATGAAACAAAAGAATCAGCAATGTTGGGTGTACTGGGGTTTTGTTTGACAGAACCCTTACCAACAGTCACAAAAAGTGGATCCCGTTATTTAAAAAAAAATAAAAAAATCCACTCACCTACCCCGTGTATGTGAGTGATCCGTACGGGATTTGTAAACCCGTACCTGTACGTGTATCATCACTCTCAAAGAATACTATACCATGAGATATGATCATACGATGTAGTTGAAGCTGCCTACCAAGCTTGTGGGGTACACTGTCAAGTGAGCTATATTAGGTCGATCACTACTCGACTCTTTGAGCTTCCCTTATTTCGTCGCTATGCCAAGGTCTCAAGTCTTCGAGTTAGCTCGCAACATGAACTGCAACTTACGACCTTTATTATATATATCGTTCAGCAAGATAAAGCATTTGAACTAAACTAATATTGTAACTTTCTGCCTATTGATGCTGAATGCTTCAAATTTCAGAAGGCCCCAGAAAAAGGGTTTAAACGTAAACAAAGAAAGATAAATGGAGAAAAAAAAAAAGGAAAAAGAGACAAAAAGTGAAAAAATAAAAAAGTGTAAAAAATAAAAAAATAGAAACCGTACTATATAGCCGTTATTGGGGGAAAATGTAATAAATAACCGTTGCCACATGTCACGGATAATTAAACGGGTAGATAATAAAATTCGACCGTTACACATCCATAGTTCAAATTTTTACTCGTCATTCAAACCAAGAAGGCTCGTATACTGTATAAGCAGTGTTAACAAAATATAGAAGAAAAATCAAGAAATAAACCAAAAATGAGAGAAATAGAACAAGAAGATCCACAATTGATGGAAGAAGTGGATCATGAAGAGCAGATATTGCAGAATCTAAGATCCAAAGCTACAGAATTTCTTCTAAGGGAAGAATATGAAGAATCTATTCAAGCCAGTTCTCAATTCATTACTCTCTGCCAAGATCACATTTACAAGAATTCACCCCATTTTGATTCAGACCACTTCTTGAAGCTCCAAAAATCCATCTGTTTGGCTTTCTCGAACAGAGCCGAGGCCAGATTCCGGCTAAAGGAATTCTCGGCAGCGTTGGAGGATTGTGATGAAGCGCTGAGAATTGAAAGCACTCATTTCAAGACTCTACTTTGCAAGGGGAAGATTTTGCTGAATTTGAATAAGTACGGTGTGGCATTGGAGTGTTTCAATGCTGCAAATCTGGATCCTCAGGCTAATAAGAATTCTGAAACCCTAAATGGGTACTTGGAAAAATGCAAGAAACTCGAGTTTCTTTCGAGAACTGGTGGATTCGATGTGTCAGATTGGATTCTGAGTGGTTTTCGCGAAAACGCCCCGGACTTAGCAGAGTATGTGGGTGCAGTGGACATCAAGAAGTCTGATATAAGCGGTCGAGGCCTATTCGCAACGAAGAACATTGACAGTGGGACTTTGTTACTGGTCACCAAGGCTATTGCGATTGATAGGGCTATATTTCCCCAAGATTCAGGTGAAAATGTGCAATTAGTCATTTGGAAGAATTTCATTGATAAAGTGGTTAACTCAGCCACAAAATGCAGAAGAATTAATAGTTTGATTTCAAAATTATCGACTGGCGAAAATGAGGATAGTATGGAAGTTCCCAAGATAAGTCTGTTTAGGCCTGGAGCATATGATAATTGCAGCTTTTCTTCTGAAAGGTGACCATACGAAATCATTTTAAAATTTAGTAAGTAAAGCGTGAGTATAAATTCACTAATTAATCAAACATTTAATTTTGTTTGTTTATGCCATTAATAGTGAGAAAGAAAAATGTTACCCATCAATCTCAAAAGATGAGGCAACTCATTCATCTTAATTGACGATATGTTTCTCTTTAAAATTGTTGTCGAAAAATTAAAAAATATATAGAATAGATTGTAATGAAATTTGTGGTACCAATCTTTAAACCTTTGATCGTGAAAACAACCATGTTTAACCAAAACCAAATGAATTGAGACCCGTTTGGTAGCAATTTTTTTTTCCTAATCCTAAAAAAAATTAATTTTTTGACTGTTATTTTATTATTTCAGCTATCATTTTTTTTACTTCCTTATTCACAGGTTGAACTTACTTTTCTCTCTAACGATAAAAAAAATCAATTCTCATAATCACTACTGAACCTCTCAATTAGTGAGAGCTTGAGCTTGTATTTGTTACAAATCTCAATTAATATTAGATCTTTAATTTAAAATGTTGGTTATGCAAATAACCGTTCATAAAACTTTCAAATTCTACAGCCTGTTTGGGAGTGATTTTTTGGCTTAAAAAATTGATTTTTTGGCCATTATTTCACTATTTCTGCCGTCATATTTAACTTCTTCTCTCACATATGTGGACCCCACTTTTTCCCTAACGGTCAAAAAATCAATTCTCAAAATCGCTTCCAACAGGCTCCTAGTATTTTAGAGTTTTCTAGTATTCTCCAAGTCTTATATTTTTAAACTGAATATAATGTCAAGAAAATGTTTCTTTGACATTGAACTCATATTGCGGCCAAGATGTTAACAAGTATTTTATAGCTAAATCGAGTTTAAATATTTCGCATTTTTTAATTATCATTGAACTTTAAAAATTCTTCAATTTGCGACAAAAAATTCTCAAATGTTTTTCAATTATCATTGAAATTTAAAAGTTCTTTGAAACACTGGTGAACTAACCAAAATGTTAAAAGTAAATGAATTAAATGATATGATAGACAAAAAGGCAGAAGAGATAAGGTTTTGTTAAGTTCATCGAGTCTGTTAAATTTTAAAGCATCAAGTGATGAAGCGAGGGATGAGATAATAGTTTAGTATGTTTAATGGCTATTCGAACAACTCTTAAAATTTAATGACAATTGAGATATTTAACATCTTTTACCAACTTTGCATTACATTTGAGCACAGCCGCCCCTCCAATAGAGGGTCATCACTTGTCAATTCGGTAAACCATTACGTAAACTATTTGGTACAAATAAATTAATCTATAAGTTAAATATCTGAATGGTTTGGTTTTTTTCTCAAGTTTAAGAGGGAATAGAAGAAAAGAGTCCAACAACCCTATTCATCATTTTCCCTTCAAATTTTAAAATAAGTAATATATTTTTATTCGTACATAGATCTATACACTCGAATCAAACAATTTTTATATCTGCTTTTCTTTTTCTACAAAAATAACTGCAAGTTCTCTAGAGAAGCAAATTTTCACGCTGCAGTTTGGTTTTGAAAAAACAAATAACAAACATGCTATACATACGGGTTCAAAAATAGGTGGGACACGTGTCGATGCATGATTGAACAGTTTGAAAAATTAAAACAAAAAAGCACCAATCATTTGCTGCCAAATCGGTCTGCCTCCTTCTTCCCTATTTTTAAGATTGTTTAAGTGGCTTTATTCAGTACATTAAGAGATGCCCATTCTTACCTTTTAATTAAATTGGGTGCATTTTGCAACCAAAAATAGTCATGAAAATGAAATAAAAATCAAAGTTTGATAAAGTTAGAAATGGGTCTAAATCAATTAAGGCCTTTGCCCTTCTTCAAATAAAATGAGACAAATTTATATATATATATAAAATCCCAAAGGTAAAAAATAATTGTTGATTCCTTTGAAGATAAGCTAAAAAATTCTTTAAACCCAATCAATGGAATTCTCTGATTCTTTCTTTCCTTAACGAAGTTTACTGGTTAATTATAACTAATTGGGATATTGACTTATCATGGATAAGATTAGTCATTAGAAGAAGAATTGATCATAGTCCACAAAACTTTCTTTTTAGGTAATTAGGTCATGCTCATTTCGAAATCTAATGTTAAAACTTCACTTTCTAGTCTTACTCATATTACCATTTTACATTTTCGGAAAGAATTTAAATCCTCGTTTGGACCCCATTAATTAAAATTCATTTTTTCGCTTTCAATTTATTTTCAATTTCACATTTCATGGAACTTCCAATTTTTATCAATTTCTTAATCACATATTTCATCGACTTTTATCAAAATCTACTGTAAATATGATTTTTATCAAAATCAAACAAGAGATTATTTTTTTTTATGTAAAAATTGAAAATACAATTCTTGAATTATGTTATAATGAGAATGTTGAAAGAAAGAAAACAAGTGTAAGAGTTTAAGGATAAAATTTTCTTTGGAGTGATCAAAATTTTCTCGAATTACATTTTCTCAATTATTGTAATTTTTATGCCGTCTTTTACAAGACTTTTTACCTAAACAACTTTTCTTTCTTCCTTTATAAAATTTTGATTTTAAAACAATTTATTCCTTCCCCCTCAAAATAATTTTCTATATTATTTCATATCCCAATTAGGTATTTTAATTTTTTTAAACAATACATGAAATTGTTATCATGGTAATAAACAAACGATACCATAATAAGTCTTTCACAATCGAAATTAAAAATTGAGAAAACAAAAAAGAAAGACTCAGTCAAGTCAAGCCAATTACTACAAATCCAACTAAAAATACTCGAAGAAAATAAAAATAATTGAAAAAGACAGGAATCGATAGAGTTAAAATTTGACGTCTTGAACTTTCTATCCTCGACTCTTCAATGCATTTCAATTTGACATTTTGATAGAGTTAAAAATCTGACGTCTTGAACTTTCTAACCTCAACTCTTCAATACATTTTAATTTGACATCTCAATATGGCACATCAAGCCAATTACTACAAATCCAACTAAAAATACTCGAAGAAAATAAAAATAATTGAAAAAGACAGGAATCGATAGAGTTAAAATTTGACGTCTTGAACTTTCTATCCTCGACTCTTCAATGCATTTCAATTTGACATTTTGATAGAGTTAAAAATCTGACGTCTTGAACTTTCTAACCTCAACTCTTCAATACATTTTAATTTGACATCTCAATATGGCACATCTTATTATTAAATAATAAATTTCTCAACATATTTTTAACAACTCGTGACATTATATTTTCAAAACAAATGAGATTCATAGTATATTCTAAAAGAACACAATTCAACTACGCCACGTGTTGCCAAGATAATATTAATCCAGTAATGAAATCCCAAAACGTGTTATTTTATAAAATTAAATATGATTCCAAATTAAGTTGATATCAAGGGCCCTGATTTTCTCCAATAAAAACTTAGTTATGACGTGGAAGGATAACAACCACAAACTGAAATCTGGCCTACATTTTATTTTATATTCAATCTTATCTACGTCCATCCCTATTTGGTTAGGACACTTGTCATCTTCTTAAGTGTGCTTGATAGTTACTTGAGAAGAATGATTCATGAAATTTTTTGTTGATAACATTTTGTTTTCAACTTAATGTTATTAAAATAAAATTTATTATAGATAATTCGGGTAGGGTTATTATCCATTATCAGTAAAAACAAATTTGTTATTAGCTTTCAAAACTTGGTGTGGATCAACCAGAAGATTTATGCATAAAAATATTTGCCTTAAGGAGGAATTCATGAATTCTGTCCGTTTTCTTGTTGAACATGAAAACGTGATTAAATGGTCCTAGTTAGTCTTCGGGACAGAGTGGAAGAAGGGAGGAGATTCTCGAACACAGAAAAATTATGCAGGATATACACGAAAGATCCTTTTTTGGCTCTCTCTTTAACCCTATGTCTCTTATCCCTAACAGCGCTATAATCATCATTTCTTAAGTGCATAATTGAATTCTTTTTAGACGAATTTCATCCAAACCGACATTAGAAAAGCACGTGTCTAAGTTCAATATCTTTAGATGAATAAATGCCACTTAGCTTAATTTCCAACCTCTAACCCTTCTGTGTTCTTTAATTTGTAAGTTATCAATCAAAATTAGTTAACTATGTTAATTTGCCTTGCTACTAAAAGAATGAGCATATTTATCACTTTGAAGAGCATCAAAAGTCCAAAATTCTCTTGCCGTAATATTGACTAGAAAATTTAATAATTGAAAGTGGTGGAATTTTATGAAGTTCGTTAAAGTAGCACAAACAAACAAGAAAGCTTAGCCAGAGGATATACGCATGTTATCCACAATAAAGCATTTCACCTAATCCTCAAAGCATGGCATCATTCAAATGTGATTATATTTTATACACACACGCATGCATTCATGCATGTGTGTCTGTATAGTCAAAAACAGCCAATAATATATGATTAATTTATGATGCAAACCAAGAACAAGACAAAAACCCTTTTAATATAAAAGGGGAATCCATCTCCTAGCAAACATTTCAAACACCCTTAATTCACCTTTGTGCTACTTGTTTTGAAATTCTTCAAGAAAATGGGAAGAACTTGTTCTGAACTTCCTCCTGGTTTTAGGTTCCACCCAACTGATGAAGAATTAATCATGTGTTATCTTCGAAACCAGGCTAACTCGAGGCCATGCCCCGTTTCGATTATCCCAGCAGTTGATATTTACAAATTTGACCCTTGGGAATTGCCTGGTTAGCACACTCAGTAACACCTTATTTTAATATTTTTTTAGTCCGCTAAATCGTTTTCAAAAATGTTATATCAAACGCATGATAGCATTTCTAGTCCAGCATACTAAACAAGCTATAAATGTTTTATCATCCACGTGATGTTATTGACTTGATGATCCTATATTACAAGAGAATGTTTGGTAAAGTTAATTACACACTACTAAGGGAAGAAACATGTTAAGATTTTATTAATTATAGTCTCCATTTATGTCTAATAACACATACTAAACATGTTCCTAATAACATGCTCCAAAAACATATTTGACACACAGTACTAGACGTCCAAGCCACCGTACATGCTATGAAAGTTTAAGTGCTCGTTTATACTACTTAAATTTTGACATACTTGAGGATTGAACATAATTTTGTGATTTCAATTGATGGTTATGTTAAGTGCAGAAAAGACAGAATTTGGAGAAAATGAATGGTACTTCTTTACCCATCGAGATAGGAAATATCCAAATGGGATGAGGCCAAATAGAGCAGCTGTATCTGGTTATTGGAAAGCCACAGGAACTGATAAAGCCATTTATAGTGGATCAAGAAATGTTGGAGTCAAGAAAGCCCTAGTGTTCTACAAGGGTAAACCCCCAAAAGGCATCAAAACCGATTGGATTATGCATGAATATCGCTTGAATGAATCAAGATCATATCCAACTCTCAAGCAAAATGGTTCCATGAGAGTGAGCACTCAATTCTTTATAACAAAATGTATATTATATGGAAGAAATTTGCATTTAAATCTTGTCTGAGTTTTGACCATATTGATTTGACCTAATAACATTAGTTTTTGTTTCTTTAAATGTGTATCAGTTGGATGATTGGGTGCTATGCAGAATCTACAAGAAGAAGAATTTGGGAAGAGTAACTGCACAAATTGCAGAGAATCCTTTTACCAAAACTGTGACTTCTGCTAATGATGCCAGTACTGAACTACAAACCCTAAAATTTCCAAGGCCTTCTTCTCTAACTCATCTATGGGAATTTGATTATTTGGGATCACTTTCCCAACTTTTCAGTGACAGTACTTCACATAATGAGACTTTCAGTATTAACCAAGCCCCACTGAACAGTAATGGAAGCACTATAGAGAAATATCAGTTAGGGAAAGTGCAGCAGCCAACTTTTGAGAATCCAGAACTGTACGAACTGCAGGGACAAACATGGTCTTGAAAAAATAAGAAATGGATGATGATCAAAAGTAGCAACTTTACGAAAAAGTGTTAAAATCGTCAATGTATTAAGGAAAATATTGTCAAACCACGCTTTTAATTTGCTCAAATAGAGCTGTAGAGGTGTGAATTGGGACATAGTTTTAAAATTAAATGCTTTCAGGTTTGTGTAATCAGATTTTGATATTTTCTATAATATAACAAATTTCCCTTTGTCTCAAATTAAGTCTTTTTTCACATAAATTTCCCTTTGCGACATTTTCTATGGATTTTTAAATATTACTAACCAGATTTTCATCAATCGATTTTCAAACCTTGAATATCCATCTCTAAAAGCCTCAACGGACGAATTTTTGAACAAGTCGTCACTGATGACGAAATTTGAATAATGATTTAGTTTTTTGAGTTGCATGCATAAATAATTAATCTACCAATACTAAGACTGTAACGAATGAAAATTGAAATTAGTTACTAGAAAATTAACTGGTCAAATATATGCTAATTAAATAGAAAAAGGTAATTAAATTCATTATTCAATCCCATGAATAGTATAACTGTCCTTTAACGTACAATGAATCTAACTTATAGTTGAGAAAATGATGACAATTAATCATTGACTAAATATTTTGGGAAAAAGCACTGGTCTTACTAAGACCTAATCAACGTTAATTACCGTCACGCACCATATTAAATATTTATAATTCATTTTTGCATGTGGATGTTTACCAAAGCCTTATCTCAAAGAGAGATGCTGGACGTACAGATTCTGATTTCACAGATACCATACAGACCACTCACAGTAGGAGAGTGGGGTGGATTTTTTTGGCACTTTTTTATTCATATGAGACCCACGTTCATGTGAGATTTCTATATATTTTCTATGAAATAAATTATGTACATATGGAAAACTCTTTCTCAAATGTAACTTTGCATGTTTGAAGTGATACATGAGAAAACGGATATTAAAAAGTTAAAGAATAAGCATATAATCTATTTTATTCACATAATACTAAAAATTTAATAACTGAGAATTTTTAAATTTCAGGTTATGATGGCAGAAATCCATAATATTTCTGACAATTACAAAGACATATTTTTCCTTTTAACAAAAACGTCCATTAAGATATATAATTTTCCGCTGTCAGCAAATAGTAAACATATAGTACTGATTTTACCTCTTTATGCTATTGAAATTTTTGTGTCATTAATACTTCGTCGGGGTTTTAATCTTGTATTTTAATCCAAATTAAAATCAATAATTAATTTTAACTATATATTTCAGAAAATTCACAACTTTTCAACCACACATTTAATCAATGATTATTAAAAGATACTAAAAATCTGATTTTAAATATATAACATTTTACATTGTTTCTTCTTTCTTATTATTGCCTAAGAGAATTTTTCAAAACTCTTGACATGTATACTACAGGAAATTCGTAAAATTTATGTTGTTGTTGTTGTTGTTATTATTATTATTATTATTATTATTATTATTATTATTATTATTATTATTATTATTATTATTATTATTATCATCATGATCATAACATTAAAAATTCATAAAAAGGGGGCACCAAAGGATTAAAGCTTAGATATCCATTAGTTCTCTCTTTTATTTTTTTATGGCAAGGTTGATAAAAGTTTAGGGAATTTATATATATATATATATATATATATATACACACACACACACACACATTAACTAATTTAACAGGATTTTGAAGTTTACAGTCGGGTACTTACCTCAATGGTCCTGAAAGGACTCGAACTAGTAACCGTTGGAAGTAAACTCAAGATTTGACCACTGAATTGCCCTAGGATTCCCATAAAATATATAATTAAAATTAAAGTTTGACCAATTAAAAAGTCTATAAAATTTTAGCAAAGTTTATCAAGCAAGCACTAATACTTTAGATCAATTTTAGTTTGTTGAAACAAGCACTATAAGAAAACAGACATATTTTTATATAGCATAAGAGAAGGTAAAATGGAAAATTTATGTTAAGGGGAGGTTTTTGTAATTTTCAGAAAAAGAAAGGATCCATAATTGCCGTAAACTTCATACAGTTAAACCTCGATAAAGTAATGTTCGATAAAGTAATAACCTCGATTATATAATAATTTCTTTCGATCTCGACTTGGGCCAATGGACTAAAGTAATAACCTCGCTAAATGCATTAAGTAATTAAAAAAATTGAATCCTTTAGGGCCCAATAAAAATATAAAGTAATAATTACTGAATTTCATTGAGAAAAAAATATATAGACCAAAATCTTTCAATCAATCAACAATACCCATACAATAATCATTCATTTTGAAAATATGCATCTATAGTTGATTGTTTTTTCTTCTTACCTAAACCAAAATGAACCCCATCCTTAACTTTTTGTAGAGCATACACAACTTTCGGAATATTTTGCTCGTATTGTAGCAAGTAGTTGATTAAGGTGACTATTGCTTGAAATGCCTCTTTTGACAACACATTTGGGACAACGTTACTATCATCTGGTTCAGGATCATTCTCATCATCATTACTATTCATTACCGATTGAATAATTTCTTCATCTGTAGGTGATTCCATAACTGCATCATTCTCGTTAGGATAGTTCAAAAGATGTTCAACATCCATCACATTTCTATAGTGTAAATTAGAGATGACATCATTTAATCATTGGATACCTTCATCTAATTCACCAACTTTTGGTTTGGGAACATTGTTTTATTCTGACCGAATCTTGCAATGCCGAAAACAATTTGCAATTGTTGTTGTCTTCACATCAAAATTTTAAGCCATGTTAGCAAAATTAATAGCATTCAAAATATTAATTTTTTCAGAATTTGGTGCTTCAACCTCAATGCCTTGTAAGATGCTAGAATAAAAACGACGACGATAATGAGCTTTGAATGCTCGAATAATCCCAGCATCACATGGTTGAATCTTAGACGTTGTGTTAGGAGGTAAGAAAAAAACTCTACATTTCTCAAGTCTTCAACTACCTTTGGATGAGTTGGGCAATTGTTTACTATTAAGAGAACCTTCCTGCCATTCATTCTCTTATCAAACCAATCAACAAAATCTTGAAAAAGCAAGCCAGTCATCCAAGCTTTCTTGTTGGATCGATACTTGCAATTAAGATTGTTCATGTTCACATTTTTAAAGTATCTAGGATTTGCATACTTGCCAATAATCCAAAGTGGTACTTTGTTAGATCGATCACCATTGCAATAAACAACAACAGCAATTCTCTCCTTATCTTTTTTGCGTCCTTCGAGCTGCTTGGTAGCAAGTGAATGATCAGCTTCCAATCGATAAAATAATCCAGTTTCATCCATATTGTAAATATCCTTCAATTGAAACTAGTCTAGTTTTGATCGTATTCCAAGTAAAGCATTTTCAATGTTCTCCATGATAACTGAACCACTTTCACCAAAACGTCGGTAAGATTTGATTCCATATCTTGCCTTAAAACGTTCTAACCATCCACTAGAAAAGCTGAATTCTGGATTAGTTTCACCATACATTTTTTGCAAAAGCTCTTTTGCTTTTCCTTGGATAATTTCTCCAGACATGTTCACTTTATCTTGCATTTGAAGAAACCACTCATACAATACTTTCTCTAAATCAGGGTATTTTGCCGATTTGTACCTTTTAACATCGCTATTTTTCATCTCATTTGACAAATATTCCGACGCCCTTTTGAGAGTGTTTGATATTGTTGATTGACTAATAGTCAAATCAAACTTTTGTTGCACCCATGCTTGCATATCTTTTTGGCTAATAGTTGGATTCTCTTTCTTATGCTCACATATTGCACTCCTCATTTTATCGGTTAAAGTTGATTTTTTTACTCCTTTCAAATGATGAGAAGACATTGGAGGGGAAACAAAATATTGTATGTGCTTGGGATATGTCTTCCAAACATCTAGCTTTTATAGGTAAAGATTAAACATTTTCATTTGCTATGTACGTGAACTTAGTTTTTAGAGATATTAAGTTTCACTAAAACTTTTGAGCTTCCCTAGTTCAAATAATATTTTGATTAGTGTCTTTTGATTTTTCTTACCACATACAATGTACATATTTTATATTGAAAAGCTCTCTCTAAAATAATAAATATTTATTTATCAATAAATGAATAATTTATTCATTTATCGATAAATAAATAACCTCGCTAAATGAATATTTTTTTCCGGTCCCGAGGGTATTACTTTATCGAGATTTAACTGTACTTACTCCAATTTTTATTGAATAAAGTCCTCAGCTGTTATCCAAAATTTTTGTTCATTTGGACTATTGATTGCAACCGTACATTTACTTTTTAAAAAGATCATTTTTCAAAACTCTTGCATTGGTCATCGATGATTATTAATGCCCCAAATTGGCTCAATTTTCAAAAAGCTCATTGCCACTATTTATGTCCATTTAAAAGAGAGCAATGCCCAATCTACAGACATTTTCTCACAGATGACTTACAGAGCCCCTCACTGTACAGGGGCCCCACCTGTATTAAAAAAAAATTTATGTGAACCCCGCGTTTGTGTGTTGTATGGCAGCACCTTGGTTCTGTAAGGGTAGCATTACTCTTTAAAAGAGTTCTTTTGAAAAAAGGAGTTTTGAAATGGAGCATGTTTTACAGATCGCTGCAAGGGTGTATGCCCCAGATTGGCTCAATTTTTGAAAAGCTCATTGCCACTAATTATGTCCATTTAAAAGAGTTCTTTTAAAAAAAGGAGTTTTGAAATGGAGCATGTTTTACAGATCGCTGCCAGGCAATACACCCACGACGTAATTATTATTATTTTTCATGTGGGACCGATCCCTACAAAGGGGTTGGTAAGACCCCTGTAGGAAAGCTCTGTACAAAGAGCATTTTCCTTTTGAAGTACTCCATTCGTACCAATTATATAAGCTTGTTTAATTTTCACACGGATTAAGAAATCTTCTTTAATATCATTGTCATTGAAAATTTAATTTTTACCAAAATCTTTCATAATTTACTTCTATTTAGTTTTTACTATGTAGTAGTAAATTATTATTAGAATTAGTAAAGAATTTGAATGATTTAATTTGAAGACGAAGAAATGAGAGTTGTTTCATGTTTCCAAAAAGTGGGAATGTGCGTATTTGGATGATTTTAAAAAGTTAACATATTAAGTGAGAAAAATTGAATAAGGGTATAATGGTAAAGGAACAAACCAAAATTTTTAAATTAGGAAAT